ATTTAGGTTTTACAGGTGGTTAAATATTGGACAGAAAATGTGTTCTGAGGACTCTAGAGAGATAGCTCTGGTTAACTTTTAAACACAAGGTTTAGAGGACTTGTCTATTAAATCTCTCTGTGAAGATGTCTAAGTATTTAATGAGGAAGAAATTTATAGCTTCTTATTTTGGACCAGACTGCTTGGCGGGTAAGAAGGTCACATGACTGCTTCATGAACTTACTTGTATTTCTCTGTCTCATCCCACTGTGAAGCCAGAGAGTAGGCCGTGTAATGTGTGGTAAACATGGGCACTGGTTCATTTTCTCATGCACTGCATTTCTATGACAAATTTTAATATGCTATATACATCTGTTGGGGTTGTCTTACTATTAAAGAGAAATTGTTGTGTGTGTGTGTGTGTGTGTGTGTGTGTGTGTGTGTGTGTGTGTTTCATTTACCAGAAGCTGTAAATAACTATGTGAGTCTTATACAAAGGGATTTTAGAGACTATGATTTGAAAATGAAATATAAATTTATTAAGCTTGGGATGCAGCTTCTAGCAGCTAGTTTAAAAAGTACAAATGTAGACCTACTCTGTTTGGAAAAGGGTTGACTATACTTTTTCTGAAGCTAATATTAATGTTCCAGAGGATAAAACACACTTAATTGGGAGTTTGAGGTACTGTGTGTGTGTGTGTGTGTGTGTGTGTGTGTGTGTGTGTGTGTGTGTGTGTGTGTGATAGAGAGAGAGAGAGAGAGAGAGAGAATGTCCCTGTACCTATGTGTATGCGAAAGTCAGTCAGAAAGAGAAGCAGATAAGATAGGAAAATTCCTTTGTTTGATTTTTAATATAAAAATTCCATGCCTTAGTAGTAATATTTATAGTTTGTTTATAATATAAAAAGTCCATGTATTTGCAGTAAGATTTATTTGTTTCCAGTTAGTGGACCCATTCTCAGATATTGAAAAGGCGGCTTTTTTCCCCCCATTTTGGAATATAAGATTACACAGCTCACCAAAAATGTGCATGTAAGTTTACATTAAGGTTCCAGATAGTGATTATGAATTACTATAAAATCTCTGGCAATTACTTTCACAAATGTCTGCTTTTCTATGGATGGAGCAATGTTTTATCAAATACCCTGAGAATACTGCAATCAGCAAAGTATTTGCTTAGGGGAGAGATTTAAACGAGTTGAAGGCTTACTTTAATCTTAGTTGCCTTTCGTTAAGCCAAATAGTGTGTAGCGTTTACCTCAGCTGAACTTACTTGGATTAACTGCTTTGTTTGATTTGCATGTATATAGCATCCTCTAATATCTATGAAAATATAAGACATCCACTTTTATTCCGTTGTAAAGAAATAGAGGCACAGAGGATATTCTGAGAAGATAGTGCTGGGTGGGGACAATCTGGGAAGGAAAAAAAAAGAAGCTGTCCAAAAAACAATTGACACTACCTCTATATTAAATTCTATTTAGTAACTTTTGTCATTGAAAATAAGAGGCATTAATTCTGCCTGGCTTCTCTTTACTTCCTGAGATTTGGGCTGTAAGGAGGCCATGAATTTGGGCATCTGTTCACATCTTAGGGTGGGTGGGCACCAAGAGAAGGCTCACCAGCTTGAGGGGGCCTGGGTGAGTGGAAGAGCTAACAGTACCTCCACCAGCTGAACTTCCAGGTGAAGTAGAAAGAGGCTCCTTGTATGGCTGGGGTGGGAGCCTAATGCATAAACACTCCTGTCTGCTTCCTCCTCCTCATTCTAAGTAAGTGGGATGTTTGCTAGTCATGTAAACAATGCCTTATAACACGAAAAGAACACACCGACCTCAGATTTCATTCCAGATTCCCTTAAGCAATGCATGGGCTATTTTCATTTTAAGAAAATGTTGGCCCATAATGCATGTAATAGTGTTTTTGTTTATGAATATTTCTACTTTCTGTTTTATTTTTAATTTTAATTATCACTAAGGTGATGTACAGAGGAATTACCATTTCATAAGCCAGGTAATGAGGACATTTCTTCCTGAGCAATGTCAGACCTTCCTTTACTCTTTCCCAGCAACCCTCTTATATAAGTCATGTATGTTTACTAGTTTTACTGACCTTAGCTAATAAAATTATATGTGGTACAATTCATTATCTTTTAACTTCACTTGCATTCTTCAAACTCTCAGGTCTGAATTTTAAATTAACTACTATTTTATAAAATACCCTTTTCTTTCAGAGACCTCTAGATTTTCAGTATGTTTGTTTAGTGCATTGTGTTATAGTCATATGTAATGTGAACTTCATAGCTTCTCGATTGAAATTTCTTTTTAATGTATGACTTACTTCATCATGTATTTGCATTATGATTATATCCTCAGCCTCCTAAGACTTGATTTTACTTCTTGCATTATGCTAAGCATTTTGTAATGTGAATATTACTCATAAAACAGTGCCTAGTGCCTTACCTGCCTACCTATCTAGCTATCTTTTCTTACAAATTTAATTTATTCTATTTGTTTTATTGCAGCCAGATACCAATCTGGCTTCACAAAAGTACGTCCACGGAAACTGAAAACACCAGGGAATTCTGGTATATGTAACAACATAGTTTTATCATAGTTTTTTAGAGTGAGAGTGATCTTGCTCTATAGGTTTTTGAGTAGAGCTTATATTGTCACTGATAAATGCCCATATCTCAGTGGTTAACCTTTTTTTTTTTTCATGATTTCAGCATGTGTATGGAGAGGTGGCTTGCCTCCTCTCTGACAGTACACAGGATTGCCATCTGATTATGATGCTTTTCTCTGAAAATGGCTCAACCAGCAATATGACAGACAAACAGAATAGACGATCATATAGAGACTCTTCAAGCCCAGGTCTGGAGAGTACTTGTATTCAATTGGCTAGCCACTCTGAACACACAGCTTCTACGCCTCAAATCATCTCTCCTTCTGATTTCTTCTCATGTTTCAGGTTTTCCAAGCTTTTCTTTCCATCAAACACATCCCACTCCATGCTTGGCAATGTAGGGACACTGCTTTCCAAAGGCTCACCCTTAAGCATTTTTTTTAATATTCCAAATCACAGATGACATCCTGGAGTACATTTTAGCCCAAACAACAAGACTAAAACGAAACCTGATTAACTGGCCAAGTAACTTGTTTTCCTAATTATGCACTTATTTGCATGAAAAATTTAGAAATAAACATTTAACTATACAATTAAATCATCATTAGTAATCATAATTACTTTCATTTTTCACATCATGCAGAATTGTAGACAGATTTTACAGCTACAATCTCTAAAACGAATAGAAAAAATAGACATTACTTAATGACTTTATATGAAAATAAAAAGCCCTTTAACTTATTTTTCCCTAGTACTTGGGCCTTGAACTCAGGCCCTTAGCCTTTAACTTGTACACTGTTATCATCCAACTCTTTGTCTACTGTGTAGTGACAATTACATGTATCGGCCACCTGTATTGGGCAAAACTCTTAAAATGTGAACAAATTGCTCTATATGAATAAAGTGTCAATACTAAGAGGCTAGAGGGTTCACAGATCTTTCTTATATTTTACTCTAGTAGGATCAAGTTTCAGTCTGGTAGATATCCAATTGTCCTAGCACATTTATTTAGTAGCCTGTCTTTTCTCCAGCCTATGTTTTTGCAACTTTTGTCAGGAATCATGTGTGTCTGCCTGGTTTGCAATGGTTTGTTTCTGTATTTTCTATGATTTTTCACTGGTATATGTGTCTGTTTTTGTTCTTGTACCATGCTGTTTTGCTGGGAGACTATGTAGTATAAAGTCAGGTGTTGCAATATCACTAGTGTTTTTCTTTTAGCTTACATCGGCTTGTACCTCTTTGAATTCTAAGATTATTTTATCTAGTTCTGCGAAAACATCACTAAAATTTTGAGGAGGATTACCTTGAACCTGTAGATTGCTTTCTGTAATATATCCATTTTTCAAAATATTAATTTTGACAACCCACAAATATGGTAGGCAGTTTCATCTTCTAGTAACTTCTTATAATTTTCATTGTAGAAATGTTTCATTTCCCTTTCCCCATTCAGGTTTGTCCCTGGGTATTTCATTTTAATTTTGAGTCTTTTATAAATGCAATTCCTTTATGGCAAGTTTGTTATTAGTATACAGGAAGTTGCTGATTTTTTGTATTAATATTTCTTATGCTGCTATTGTCTAGTAGAGACTTTAATGTCTTTTAAGTAGATGATATCATGGGCAATTAGCAGAACTACAAGTCTTTAATTAGGCCAGCTACCTTGAAATTGCCACACATTTAAATTACTTAGAGAATATATAGAGTTTACACAATAAAAACTGTATTTGGGGGCTGGGAAGTTGGCTTAGTGGTAGAATGCTTGTCTCATGTGCATGAGGCACTGAGTTCGATTCCTCAGCAACACATAAGCAGAAAAGGATGCAAGTGGTGCTGTGGCTCAAGTGGTAGGGTGCTAGCCTTGAGCTGAAGAGCTGATAGCTTTGAGCTGAAGAGCTGTGGGACAGCGCCTAGGCCCAGAGTTCAGGCCCCACGACCACCACCACCAACAACAAAAAACCCTATATTTTCATTGGAAAAACATTCATGTAATAGAATACATACATATACCTATATAATCACATACATATATGCATATGTATGTGTATATATGTGTGTATACACATTTGTGTTGTTCCTGGAGTATGAATTCAGGGTCTGGGCACTCTCTTTGAGCTTTATTGGTCAAAGTTAGCATCCACCCTCTTAGCTATAGTTCTACCTCTGGCTTTTGGTGGTTAATTGAAGATCAGAGTCTGATGGATTTTCCTGTCTGGGCTGGCTTTGAACCAAGATCCTCAGATCTCAGCCTCCTGAAGAGCTAGAATTACTAACCTATAAAATATATTTTATGTTGTACTCAAAATGAATACTAAACTTATTTATAATGAACAAAATCCATAAAAGATCCAGTAATTTAACAAGTACATTATTTCCTTGTCTACCTAACTGCACATACTTACTTGGTGAAGAGATGTGGAATGTTGGTTCACCTTCTTGCACTGCTTGATGTATCCATGATTCTGAGGACAATGAATAACTTCAACAGTCTCAAGGGGTCACTACTCACTCTCCTATTCTTATTTGGGTACTAAAATAAAAAAAAAAGTATGACTATTTGATACACTGGTAGGTTCAAAGCAAGTTCCAAGCCTTTCTTACAGCCCCTTTGTAACAATTGACCAATATAACTGAAAAAGAAATAGAGATAGAGTAAGACACATTTAATTGTTAGTATGTCTAGTCAACTCCCTAACTTTTAATAACAAATGTAGAGAAACCTTTAACAATATTGATAAAATGTAAGAGGAACATAAATTAATAGCATTAAATGAAGCAGTATCATGGTAGACTATATAAAAAGAATATAAAAATATTATGAACCTGACACTCATAAATTTGAAAAAAATGAACAGATTTATCAATAAACAAACTCTATTAAAACTCATACAATATCAACTAGATAATGTACAGCATCCTAGAGCGCTTCAGGAAATTAAATTTGCTATAAGTTTCAGGAGCCTCCAAATTTAAATAGTTTCATTGGAGATTTCTACCTGATGGTAAAACAAAAAAAAAGGTCTCACAGTCTCATCTGGTAAGTTGAAGGAAAGGAATGCTTTCTAATTATTTTGGGGTAGTAATATAATATATAATATATGTATATATTTATATATATGTATATATAGACACAGAGTCTGATTATTCATGCAAAAATATTCAATGGAATGTTAACAAGCAGAATCCAACAATATTTCAAAAAGACCTTAAATCATGATCAAATAAAAATCAGAAAGAAGAAGAAAATAACAACAATAAGACAATAAGAAGATAATGAAGTTATTGGAAATAGAAAAATGTAATATATAAACACAGCCACATGCATTCCAAGCTTATATCACATGACACAACTTAACTATTTTCTGGTGGATTTTTTTGGGGGGTCCAGTTGTGGGGTCTGAACTCTGGGCCTGGGTGCTGTCCCTCAGCTCTTCAGCTCAAGGCTAGCACTCTACCAGTTGAGCCACAGCGCCACTTTCGGTTTTTTTCTTTTTGCTTATGTGGTGCTGAGGAATCGAACCCAGGACCTCATGCATGCAAGGCAAGCGCTCTACCACTGCGCCACCTTCCCAGCCCCAAGGATTTTTTTTGTTTTTAAAGTACTGTCTCTATATTGTGAAAGGTGGCTTCCATCTTGCTCTGTAACCCAGGCTGTTCTCAAACTCATAAATTTCCTACGTTTTCCAAGTGCTGAGATTCCAAGCATTTATCCCATGGTGAGTTTGAAACTCAGTCTTGTGCACTGTCTATGAGAGTCTCATGAAAATTTGATTCAACAAATTTAATATACAAAAAAGGATGTTCCAAGTTATTATAGGAAAATGCAAACAAAAGGAAAGGAATTAGAATATTAGATAGAGCTTGAGGTCAAAGTAGATAAAGACACATACCAAGGAGTTCATATTGAAGACGTTATGGCCAGAAACATTTAATCATCTTACAACCAAATAAACACAAGTGGGCTGGGAAGGTGGCTCAGTGGTAGAGCGCTTACCAAATAAACACAAGTCTTAGAAATATAGCAAAAAATTGAAAGAAATAAGAACCTACAGGCCACAACCTTTATTAATCAGAAGATGAAGAGGACTGTCCTACAAGACTCATGGATATAGATGAAGGCTACTTCATATATCATTGGAGTAAAATCTAAACTGTTGAAATCAAAACAGATGTGTTGGCAAATGTCTAGCAATTGTATTCACCATCTTTTTTCAATGGTTTGACTATGAGTGAGACCACCTCATCCACACCATCTCTTGCTCCATTCCATCACTTCCTTCCCTTACTGCTTGGCTCAGTCCTACTGTGCTACCTTTGCCCTACTGCCTCTCATTTGGGGAAAGGAAGGGGATTGACAAAATGGTGAGACAAAGTACAAAGGGTGAACCCACACAACAGTGATACTTGCAAGACACTATGTTAGAAATGAACCTTACAGCTTGTACGGGGAGGGGAGTTAGGAGGAGGGAAAGTGGGAGTAAACGAGGGAGGGAGTAACACTGTTTAACAAGAAATGTACTCATTACCTTATGTTTGTAACTGTAACCCCTCTGCACATCACCTTGACAATACAATTCAACTGTAAAAAAAAAAGAGAATATCAAATTATCAAAGACATGTTGGTGTCGATCAGAATCACCCAGGTAGTTCACAAGAAGGTCACAGAGGCCTGACATTGCCTAACAATTCTAGTAAATACATTCCATAAGCCTGTATTTGCCTTCTAAGAGCCAAGTAAACTGTATCTAATAGTTGGGACTGGACATAGAATGTTCTGATTGGCACATCAACTCTAGGGCTAGAAAAGGATACTTTTTTCTAGTAATGGGGCTTGAATTCAGTGTCTTACACTCTCTTTGTTTTTTCCCCTCATGGCTGACACAGTACCACTTGAGCCATACCTCCAGTTCTAGCCTCTTGCCTGTTAATAATTGAAGGTAACTGTCTTACAGATTTGCCTGTCTAGGCTGGCTTTGATCTGAGATTCCTGAGTAGCTAAGACTATAGACATGAGCAATTGGTCTCTGGCTAGGGTCATTCTTATCAAACCACATACCAAGGAGACTTCAACAGGAGAGCTAAGATACAACTTTCCAATGAGTAAAAAGAAATTTGGTTAAAAGAACCAACATGTCTACATATAGGATCGGAATAGTATAAAAATTTTGATTAATTGCATAGTTTTAGACACTTAAATGTGCCCAAGTTTAAGCCTCTTCTTAGTCCCATAGGATCATATGATTATAAATACGATATTTGTGGTTCCCATCTTCACAACAATCTATCTTCTACCCTGTGCTGGCTATAACCTAAGTAACTTAAGTTTTCTTCCTTGTAGTTTTCCTTTACTTATATTTTTATTGTAAAAATAGTGTACAGAGGGGTTACAGTTACATGAGGAAGGGAATAAGTACATTTCCTGTTGAGCATTGTTACCTCCTCCTTTGTTTTTCCTCTACTATCCCTTCTATGGAATGGTCTCATGTGTTCTGATGGGTCATTTTAAAGCAACTGTAATGCTTCTGCCTATTTATAGAGAGGACTTCTTTTACCATCAGGTTGGGTGATACCGTAAACTCTGAACCTCACCCCTGATGAGGCTTCTGGTCTACACCAGCATGTCTTTGATAATTTGATCATATTCTCTTTAAAAAACTATATATTCTATTTTATTGTAAAGATGAGGTACAGAGGGTTTAGTTATGTAAGTAAGAAAATGAGTACATTTCTTGTCAGTGTTAACCCCTGCCTCATTTTCTCCCATTTTCCCTCCCTGGCTCCCCTACCCTCCAATAGTAAAGTTCATTTCCAACCTAGTGTCTTATGAGTATGGCTGTTGCATTGGTTCACCTTTGTCCTTGGTCTCACCATTTTGTTATTCCCCCTTCTTTCCCCAAATCAGATAAACATATATATAAGACACAGGGACAAAATAAAAACCAGTGACAACAGGGAATAAACCAAAGGAAAAAATGAAAGAAAAAAAGAAGTAACTTCACAGAGTACAATTTAAAACAAACCTCTTGTTTCCATATTTTGTAGTTCATTTTGATTAGCATCATTTTATCTGTTCATATGCATACCGCTATTGAGCTATGGTGAACCTCTGCTGGAACTATCCTAGACATATACTAATTATTACAAATGGGGGACATTATGGAACCTATGTTTCTTTGGGGTCTGTCTTACTTCACTTAATATGATTTTTTAATGTCCCTCTTTCTGATAGATTCATAGAATTACATCTTGGAGGCTCAGAAGTAGCAAATGATTTCTGATTTGCATCCTGACACATTACTGGCATGTGAAATATACAAATTCTCCTTCATAAGAATTTTCCAAACATGAGTATAGTCCCTTCTTTCTATTCCCTGAAGAAGTGAAAAAGGGTAATCGTTTTGTCTGTTTGGTGTCAAAGATGACGTTCAAGTCCTTGTGAATTTTAAGCGTGTCTTTTGCCACTGAGCTATCCACCAGTTTCCTAAAGTGAAAATTATTTATTGTATATTTTAAAATTGTATTATACAAATGAGTGATTTTAATTTTGGAATATATTTGTAGACATGCATGATGTCTTTGTCTTTAATTATAGAGTGTATCACAGAGAACTTCCTCTGGTAGTGGTAGACATCTTTAGAACCTTCCTTAGTAGGAAATTTGCCCTGGATCACAAGTTGACTTTAGAATCCAAACTAAAACAATAATAAGACTATGAAGCTACTAGAAGGCTACAATCTGAAATGTATGTGTTCATTTCAGTATATAAGTTATTTGCTTATCAGGCCTTTTATATAAATTCATAGTGTAGAGTATTGAGATCTAAAATATCCAACATTTTTAATCTTTTAGACCCAAATTGAATTTCATCTGTTTGAGAAAGTAAGTTTAATATACAGATATAATTTAAACTTTTTGTGAAATCAAAGAAATAAATTAGTTTTAGTAAAGGTGTGTGAACAGAACATTTTTCTTGCCTTAAGTTCTGAAATATTTAATAATAGGTAAATATTTTAACATCTTTCCTAGGACAGACATCAATGAGAGTCATAATATAGGAACATGAAATTCTCTCTTACATTTTAATATATTTGAAAGTATCATTACGTGACTTGAAATGCTTTGAGGAAATCAATAAGTGATACATATTCATTGCAAAATTTTCAATATTGAAGGAAGCAAGTAACATTTCTTTTTAAGCAAGATTATACATAAGTTTACAGAGCATGTGACAGGTAAGATCTTTTCATTTCCTTTGGTCAGTAGCAATTCATAGACTTGAGCATGCTAAAATTTACAGTTAGCCTCTTGATGGAATATAAAATTGATAAGCAGTCTAGATAGCATTTGGAAAATATATGAACGAAATGTGTTTTGCATTTAATGAGTTTCACTGATAATCTTCATAAAAATCAAGAAAATGATTTCAAAGACTATTTTTCAAATCAAAGTATTTAAGAGCTAAGGATATCTGTTTTGTTTAGGTTTAGTGTTTTAACCATTGTTTAACTTCATTGTTTTATAAATTGAGTGAGCATAGTCTTTGGTAAAATCTCTCAGAATCTATATATCTATCAATAAACACTATATGGAAACCAACAAATATATTTCTAAAATTCTTCTTTAGTTTTCACCATCAAGACATATTATCCATAACATCTAGTTCCAGAAATGTATCTTGACTTCATTGTATGCAGGAATTAGGAGAATAATACAATAATGTGTGCTCAATTATGAGGAATGCCCAAGGTGCAGAAGTTACCATATTTTTTTATATCAAAGTTCACTATTTGATAAAAAAAAAATTCTTCGGCCAGGTGCCTTTGACAAAGGCTTGTCATCCTAGCAACTTAGGAGGTTGAGTTTTGAGGAAAATAGCCAGAAGTCAATCTTTGGCTTACATGGTAGAGTACTAGCCTTGAGAAAAACTGCTCAGAGACAGTGTCCAAGCCCTTAGTTCAAGCCCCAGGTTAGCACAAATGAAAATCTTAACTGATTCAAAATTGCTCTTAATAGTTACCAGAAGATTTTAAGATTCATTCTTTGTATTTACTTACTATTTATTTACTTACTATCTTTAAGGAGTTTCAATTCGACATGTCAATCATGAGGACAACACGTCTCACTCAATGGATTCAGTTTGCATGTGTGTTTTTAATCCCTGTTCATTGTCAAGAACATTCCTGTATTATGTATACTATGATCAGTTTTGTCATTTACCTCTCTGGTCTAGTTGTATGTATACTTTTGCCATACTCATATCATATTTATTTAATCTCACTTTTGAAAATGTCTTGGTCATGCTAGCAGTAGTTTTCTAATCAATTTCATTAAAAATATCTAAGTGATTTAGAAATATGACATAATATTTACCAAATTACATATTAAATTTGCACTACATTAATGCAACATACAGAAATTAGTCCATAGGTGAAATAAAGACAGGTTGATTAAACTCATATTTACAAAACACTTGTTTCCTTATTGCATGTTATCATTGTTTAGACCTCAAAGTCAAAAAGACTCCAAGATCTGCATTCTATTGCTGCTGCTTTATGCTTCCATGAATAAATTATTCAGTTAGGTGAGTTCATAATTCCTATAAACTCTTTGGGCAAAATTTTTTCCAAATCTTCTTGTAAAATCCAAACAGCTTGTACCTTTTAATGTGATTCTTTCAACTTCTATCATTTCTATGAGTGTTTTCAATTTTTAGTCAGCATTGAGACCCCATATTTTTCTTTAGATTCTACCATCCATAGTTTGCTAGCTGGAAATTCTATAGGTATTAAACCATCAGATAATGTAGCTGTAACTAAACTGATCACACATTCATTTAAAATCAATAGAAGCAGCTGGACACATGTGGCTCACACCTATAATCCTATCTACTCAAGAGGCTGACATCTAGGGATCTCTGTTCAAAGCCAGCCAGGACAGGAAAGTCTGTGAGACTCTTATCTCCAATTAACCACCAGAAAACCAGACATAATATTATGGTAGGACACTTGCCTTGAGCTGAAGAGCTTAAGGACAGCACCCAGGCCCAGAGTTCAGGCCTCACGACCAACAAAAAAAGAAAGAAAGAAAGAAAGAAAGAAAGAAGGGGAGGGGGAACGGGGAGGATTGGGTGGTGGGGCAGGGGGAGGATGGGAAGGGATGGGAAGGGGAAACAAAGGAGGAGGCTACAATGCTTGATAAGAAATGTACTCATTATCTTGCCCATGTAATTGTAACCCCTCTGTACAGTATTTTCACAATAAAAAAAGAATGTATAGCATTGATTAACAATAACCAGTTGGGAAAAATCAAGTAAATATGAAGCAGCATGATAAGATCCAATTAAACAAAGTAATCTAGACTCACACATTGGTTACTAGAAAGAAAGAACATTGGAATCATCCTTATAATATATGTGTTTAAAGCTGGAGGGAATATGCTTTAGAGAGCCACCTGATGGAGGCTTGGCCCAATGTGTGTACATACAACTAGATTTTCTTTTTTTTTGTTTTGTTTTTGGGTCCGGTTGTAGGGCCTGAACTCTGGGCCTGGGTGCTGTCCCTCAGCTCTTCAGCTCAAGGC